TTTCTGGAATTTTCTTTGGGATTCTGTCTTTCACTGTTAGAATGTACATATGATTAAAGTTATAGATCGTTGCATTCTTTGTAAGTGGGCAAACCTGCAAAATCAGCAAGGGCTCAAATACTTATTTCCCCCACTGTAGATGGACGATGTCTCCTGCTTAGCATGAAGATATTAGCTTTTGAGAATGGTGCTTGTGTCCAGCTGAGGGAGCCCTATCAGTGAGTGTCCAGCTTCTCCTATTGGACGTGCTTGTTGTTCTGGAGGTAATAGTTTTCTCCGGTATGTGTAAGAGGACACCGTAGGCTGAGGGTTAAACACTGACCGTGTGTTGTCCCAGACCTCCCAGCCCTACAAGCACAAGCTGACCGGGCTATCTTCTCCTTTAGTACACCAGGAGTCAAGCATGAGCCATTTCTGATTTGATATGCTGATTATTTGCTTTTCCTGTTGGAAGAAAAAGTCACTGTAGATTGTAGAATATGCTAACAGTTCACCCCCATGCATTAGTTTTTCTTTTTAGAGTTGCCTTTATTAAAAGACTGGTCATTTCTAAATGTTTCATTTTAAGTAAGTCCAATTTCCTAAATAGAAACTTCTCAACCCAATCAAATGTGTAATATAAAAAAGAAAATCCTGGCTTTTGTTGTGTTTTTAGCATGGAAAATGTTCACCGGATATGGTATAATCCATATTCTCTGATGTTTTCTACACACTGAGGTGGAGAGACCTTTGCTCCCGGGGTGCTGTTGCCCTGGATGCCCTCAGAAACACTCAGCTCCCACAGCCTTTGAACTCACCAGGGGCTTTGGCAGTTGTGACAATCAAGTGGACCACCAGGAAGAGAACGGCTGCTTCTTGATTTGTCTAAGACCTTAGAATTGTGGTGATCAACCGTACCGAACCTATAAAGAGAACGGGGAGAGGATCATTTATGGGACTCTGAGTTTTAAATCAAAACAGATTGATACTATACATATGCCATTAATTTTTATATGAAAGTTTTTATAAACCCTCATATTTGGCTAAACTAAGCTTGCGTCCAAGGCTACTCTAAAGGCATCATCGTACCTATCCAAAAACTGGTCATTCTAGCATATCTGGACAAATCAAAAGTGGCTAATACCACCTTGTTCAGGAATAAATCACTTTGTAATCTAAACTTTTAGCTTTGTTGCTTTGTTTTCTGCAGTATCTGTGCCTGAACTGCCTCAGTTGACTTCTTTTGATGTGGAGGAGCAGCACATGGAACTCTGGAAGCAGCAAATGGGAATTCCTCTCCATTTGGTGAACAGGGAGCCGCGCCGGGAAGGAAATCGTTAATCTTCCTGGCCCCAAACCAGAGATGTTATGCTCACGGGTTCCAGGTTAACCTGTCAACAATGCACACTCGGGTTTACTGAAGACCAGTGTGTGTGGTTGCTTATCTGTGTGATCCTGTGATGGACTGCAGAATTTAGGTTATTTAGGATAGGCTACAGCAATAATTAACCTCCTGAGATCCCAGCTTTGATCTGGGGTGCATTTTAACTTTTTTCCAGACATCTGGGATCAGTAGGAGCTAATAATTTTAATAACTAGACTTTGTCATGGTACAGGTCGTTTTTCTTTGTATAGGCTCAGTGATTTAAAATGCTTGTTTATATATATTTAATTAAATGTTTCTGCAATTTGGTTCTGAGGGTCCAAATGACTTATTTACAACATTTTAGTTCCATAATGAGATCATGATCGGTGTAAAATGTATTAAATCATTTTCCTTTAGATTTCAAACAGTAGTTTCTGATAGCGTCTGCTAGGAGGCCAAGAGGTCAAAGGTCACAGGAAGAAAAAAAAGTGAGGCAGAAATACGGCAACCTAATAGGAGGACGCAGGACCTCAGGAGGATAAACATCAATAGTTCAAACTTTTTACTGTTTTAAACCTTTCATCCTCAACATGAGCTTAACTGTTTTTCCCCAAATGTATCAAAGAATGGTCATATCTTTGGCAAATGATTGAGGAAAATTAATTTTATTTTGATCTATAGTGCTTTTTTTAAAAAGATTTCCAAGGCTCTGCTTTGTTTATGTTTGTAATCCATCTTGAACACACACAACTAGAGCTTGACATCCTGTTTATTGGTCACTTGAGACACACAACCTGCGGCGCATAGCTCGGACATATTTGGAGCTGCTGACGGTCATGAGTTTCTGCACATGCAGACATAGCTGTTAGATTATCCAGCAGCGCGCTTTTAGACCCCTGCAGCTCGTCCTTTTGTGCTGGACGGGTGGCGTTCGGGCTCTTCCTGTTTGGAGCCCCTCACGGTCCCCAGTGGTGGGAAGTAACTGTACTTAAGTACAATTTCCATGTATCTGTACTTTACTTAAGTAGATTTAATAATGGCTACTTTCTACTTTTACTCCACTACATTTAACAGTAAGTATCTGTACTTTCTACTTCACTACATTTCTATACAGCGTTTCGTTACTCGTTACATCCAAGACGCATTTCGTTTTTTTGATTTGTTCGTTAGTTTGAAAGTATCCAATGGTGAGAGCAGAATCAGTCCGCTGAACCAATCCAAAGCGGGAAATAACCATCAGGCCCTCCCTCAAGAAGAGCAGCACAGTACCAGGACCTGCATAAAATATCTAAATCTAAACTGTCACAGGGGGTAAACACAATAAAAACATGCTTTATCTGCAGCATTGCTCATTAAAATGGTACATTACTGATTTATTCAAACTAAATACGATAGGTACACTTAATGACATTATATAAGCCGTTAGGTATTATGGTTGGCAAGTACTTTTACTTTTAATACTTAAGTAGTTTTAAAAGCTTGTACTTTCTTACTTTTACTTAAGTAAAATAATAACGTGGTGCTTTGACTTTTACTTGAGTACATTTTTGTCTGTGTATTTGTACTTTTACTTAAGTACATTGTGTGAGTACTTTTTCCCCCCCACGGGCTTTTGATGGTAAACTAACAGAGAGCTCATGTCTGCCCAAGGTTGAAAAAGGGTGCCGCTGCA